TAGAATTGAACAGAATTTCTTTTCTGGAGCTCCATTTGGCATGTCTGAGCTGCTGCAGAATATGGCTGTTTGTTTACTACAGTTTGAAACTGTGTGGTAAAACACATATTATGTGAGTAGCCTAGAAATGCACCGAGATTTCAGAGACAGAATTGCTCTGAGCCTTTTTATTAAATGAAACATCCATTTTCTCCCAGGCAGAAACCACAATGGTACCCATCATAAAAATGATCAATAAAGCACTGGGTTGCGACTCCTGCTGTCTCGTTTAATTTTGTTATTGAAATAACGGTTTCTCAGTGCATGGAATTTCCTGGGCATTAATAACAGGCATCAGCATCACGACGCGCCAACCCCTTCGCGTTTCTTATTTATTTCCAAAAAGCACCCACTGCCCAGACCGTAGGAACCAGGATTAACGTACTTGCTAACGATACGCGTGCTTGTACCCAGCTGCCCGGGGTATGATCAGCTGAATCATCCACAGGTGATGCTGAGAAGCAAAAGCCGCCATCTAGATTTTGGGAACAAATTTTGGTAGATTTCTGAGAAAGCTTTTTGAGATCGTACTTGGGAGCCTGCCACATCTGACTCATAGCACCAGGAAAAACAGAGGTGGGCTGCCCGAGTGGGAACCTAAGCACCGAGGTCCCTTTGGGAAAAAAAAAAACATTTTCAGCACACAAATTTCCAAGCAATTGGGGATTGTGATGCTGACCTGAGGATGATCTGGGGATATGCACCGCTTTGTTTAATTTATATTCCTTTCTGATGGTGTTGTTCAACTAAGAAAATGGAAATAAACACTGGGGTTTGTTGGTCATTAGCCTTAAAAACGCAGCACATCTGGGCAAAGAGATCCACAAATGGGATTGTCTGGGAGAAGGATGGGTTTCAAGTGTCTGGACTGATGTACCCGGTGTCTCTTTTGACATTAGCATTGCTCTGAGAAGCCCTTTCTACACTTAGGCAAGAATTTCCTGACAAAACTATTTTCCTTTGGAAAAACACTGTGCTGACATGAGAAAAGAGTTATTCTGAAAAATGTCCCTTCTCTAGAACTGGCAAGGAAGGAAATTTCAAAATTATCACAGAATCCTGTTTAGGGTTGTTATTTTGTTTTTTCCCCATATAAGAATTTGACACCATCAGTTAGATAATTGCAAAAACCAGTATAAAAACCCAAAATACATTTGAGATCACAGTCAAAGCTTCCGTTAAATTAGCTAAGGGAGTTGCTTAGCTGTTAGACTTAATTTTTAAGCCCATGAAGGTCTGGCATTCAAGAGCTTGTGTTTTGGAAGGGTGGAAAAGGGAGCTCACGGATGGGCAAGAATTTGCTCAGTGCTGGACAATAAGCGTGGACGTGAGTCAAGACATTGCCTTGCACAAAAACAACACAATGGGAATTTCCACTGGTGGCCTCGCTGGCAACGGCTTTGGCACCGTAATCCTGATCATTCCAAAAATCTCTCTTCTCTCTGGCTATGCTCAATTTGGGATTAAAGTTTTAATGGCTCTACTTTGGGGTTTTAATGGCTCTACTTTGGGGTTTTAATGGCTCGTACCATCTCAACCACACAAACACTGCAGTGACCTCGCGAAAAAAAAAAAAATTTTGCCCGCCCTGCCGTGATCTTCCTGGCAGATGAGAAATCGGAGCTTGGAACTGCTCCCCACCACCACCCCCTCTTGTTGCTCTGCCCGTGGATTTTATTAGCTGTCAACGTGTCAAACTTCCACTTAGCTGGACAGCTGCGTGATCAGCCAGATTCTAAGGCTTGCCAATAAAATTTAACAAAGCTATCAGAGATTGTGGTGTGGGAATACTCAGGTATCAGAAAGAGCAAGTGAGACTTGGGTAAATTCATCTTTCACATGGTAAAGCAAAGAGAGGTGAAGAGAAGAAAGAAGCAAAGAGATAGACAGGTCAACTTATTTTATTTGGTTTTCCTTGTAGCAGAGGGCTGGAGCAGCTCTGCTGCAAGGACAGGCTGCGGGAGCTGGGGTTGTTCAGCCTGGAGAAGACTCCAGGGGGGCCTTATCACTGCCTGCAGTGCCTGAGGGGAACCTACAGGGAGGCTGGGGAGGGACTTTGTACCATAGTGTCCAGCCATAGGACAAGGGGAAATGGATTTAAATTGAAGGAGAATAGGTTTAAACTAGACCTTAAGAAGAAATTCTTCAGTGCGAGGGTGGCAAGACTCTGGAATAGGTTGCCCAGAGAGGTTGTGGATCCCTGGAGATGTTCAAGGCCACGTTGGATGAGGCTGTGAGCAACCTGGGCTGGTTAAGGACATCCCTGCCCATGGCAGGGGGTTGGATTAAATGATCTCTAAGGTCCCTTCCAACCTAAGACATTCTAGGATTCTGTGATTCCGTGATTTTTGTTTGGTGCCTGTAGAGAGGTTATCAAAATGGGATTCCAGTGCAGGGGTGTTGGGTGTCAGTGGTACAGTAAGAAAGCCTGACAGCAACACCTGAGCCACAACTCCAAGACCCGGGTGTGATCCAGGGACTGTCCAGCCATGGCTGCAGCAGACAAGTGGCACGGAGACCCAGAAGGTGGATGAAGCAATGTCTGGCCATTGAGGAGCATCGAAGGGTCACAAAACACTTTTTGTACATCTGCCTCCCATTTTATATGTTAACATGATAAGCTTTTGGGGACAAGATAGATGGGTAGATGTTGGCATAGCCCTTAACACCCTGAATCTCAGCTGGCCCTACTGTTATTACAACTATCCTCAATCCAAAGCACGTCTCTTGGCCTTAAAAACTCTGTTGAGAGAGGACTGAGACTATGAGGTGGCAGAAGTTTCCCTTCTGGATGGATACATGTGTAGATGTGTGTGTGGCTCGCTTTTTTTTTCCTTCCCCCTCCACAAAAACTTGATTGACTAATGTTTGCAGATCCTGAGAGCCAGTAAAAGATCTGCTCTGATATCCAGAAAATTTTACAAGGGGCGGCAGGCTTAAAAGTGGTGGGAAGAAGCAGACTCTGCCAGGATGTCGGAATGAGAAAGCCATCAGGAATGTGCCTCGGAGAACAGCTGCTACTACAGCCCTGGCAGGAACCTCCACGCAAGCTGCCTGGGAGCAAGTAGGGGGATTCGGAGATCACAGCTTGAGACAAGGGAAAGGTTCTCCTTATTTATTTATTTAGCTTCCTCTTTCTCCGCTTTCGCCTCCCTCCTTTCTCCCAGCCTTGTCACCGTGAGGTCAGAGCACCCCGGAAAAGAGAGAACATGTCTCTGGTTTTTGCACTCCCCGGCACTTTGGGGCTTTTCCCTTTCTCCCCAGCACGCCCTCGGCACAGCTCATGCAGACACGGGTTTCTCTCGCCCCAAAACAAGGTGTTACCTAAACCGTTCTCCTCCCTTGAAACTCCTTTTTTTGTTTTTCGGTTTGCCCTAGAACCATCTATTTTTATTTCCCCCCTGAACAACTCATGTCCATCTACACAACCAAGAACAATTAGAAACAGAATATGCAAAACAATAACAGGGGAATTCACACTTCCCAACTTTCAGTAGCTCAGTCACCTTAATGAGCTGCTTTCCCAGGCTCCATCTATGAACTGACACGACTGGCAAATTAACACTTGCGCTGTTGAACACTCTGGCATGGTCTTTTTGGCTAAGATAAAAATTAGAATCAGGTTAAAGTTTGCTGGATCTCCCTCCATAGCCAAATCCTGAGGGGTAACAGTGCCAGGAAAATCTCAAGAGAAAGCTGGAGGAAGGTGAGAGGAAAAGCTCTTGACCAGTGAATATCTTCAGGTGTCGGGGGGGAAATGTCCATCCCCAGGCAGCTGGGAGAAACCAGCAAAAACTTCTGGTGGTTTTGGCTTCTGAGCCAGCAGAACAAGTTCATTATTCTGAGAACAAGAGAACTGGAAAAAAAAAAAAAAAGCACCTGTTTTGTTTTAGAGGAGCTGGTTAATTGACTGACCGTCCTCATCACCAGCCTGGAGTATTCTTCCTCTCGGATGCACACACAGAGACCCCGGGTGCTCAGCCTGAAACCGAACCGTGCCGGCCGCGCGGAGAATGGACTGCTGGGGTCTCCATTTCACTTCTCTAACCCAGCACAATCCCCAAGCCCTCCCCCCTTTCCTTCCCTGTCCCCAAGGGACTCTATTATACCCCCCGATCTGTTCACACTCCTTATCCCTCTGCGTGTTTGCACACACTGCTGACCCAGCCTTTATCTGGAAGACATAAGGGTCTCTGTGTGGAGTTCCCACAAGGGCTATTAATCGTGTAGATGTCAGAGTCCCCCGGCTCCAAACCCTCCCCTCCTGCTCCTCCCCTCTCCTCCCCCCCCCCTCCCCGCCCTTTTTGTGCTCTCTGGAGATCCAAGGGGAGGGGGAAAAAAAAAAAGTTTCACGAAAATTCACATGCGGAACTTGCAAACTTTGCAAAATATGATCCGCTCCCCTGGGCAAGGCTGGTAAATGGTGTGATTTCTCCTAAAGCGCCAAACACAAACACACACGCACATCGCTTCCTTCTAGGCAAAGGGAGGGATTTCCTCCGAGACAAAGCAGAGAGCCCGGGGACTTGCCAGCTTAGGGGCAAGTTTGGCTCCTGGTTCCAACCTGGATGGAAACCCTCCAGCTGGTACCGCTGCAATGGGCCAAATCAATAACAGCGTCTCTGGAAATCCATGAGAACGGGGGAATCACAGAATGTTCGGGCTTGGAAGGGACCTGGAAAGATCATCCAGTCCAACACCCCCTGCCAGAGCAACATCGCCTACAGTAGGTCACATAGAAACGCGTCCAGACGGGGTTTGAACGTGTCCAGAGAATGAGACTCCACAACAAGCTACACGACTGGATCTGAGCCTCAGATCTGTGTGAACCCCAAAGAAGAGGCGCACCCACGCCACCACCTCTCACCACTCTCATCCCCAGTCCCGCCACCCCTTTCCCCAAGGGAAGCGAGAAGCTGCGCCACCGGGCTGCCCTGTCCCACACCGGCTCTCGTCCTTACCTGAACTCGGGCCTCGGTGAGCTTGGTCCTCTGAGCTAACTCCTCTCGTGTGTAGATGTCTGGGTAGTGGGTTCTCTCGAAGGCCTTCTCCAGCTCCTCCAGCTGCTCAGCGGTGAAAGTGGTCCGACTGCGGCGTTGCTTGCGCTTCAAAGGCAGGTCTGGTTCAGATTCGACGTCAGAGCCTTCGTCCAGCCTGTTACCTGGGGTGGGAATGGAGTGGGAGATGAGTGGTTAAAAGTCACAGGGAGAAAGGCTGTTGGGAGAGAGTCTTGGCTCTACTGTGATGGTGTCCGTCGAAACAAACACCCTGTCCATGTGTGATATATCCACCACTTTCAGCATTTCTGTAGTTCCCTAGTATTTTTTTTTCCCCCACATCATAAAAAGCCCATCTACAAAACCAGAACCATCTGCAGCACAAGGGTGGTTCAAAGCCCACTGCTGAAATTGTTACAGGGAAAGGACTTCCAGTTGTTGGCTTATTTGAAAAAATTACCCATTTTTATTAGAAATAAAACTTTGTGTTTCAGAGTTGCACATTTTACATGGAAGAAACGTAGAAGCTGGAACGAGTCAATATGTCAATACACAATCACAGAATCACTAAGAGTGGAAAAGACCACTAAGATCAACAAGTCCAACCATCAACCCAACACCACTGTGACCACCAAACCATGTCCCAAAGTGACACATCTACACCTTTTTTGAACACCTCCAGGGATGGTGGCTTCACCACTGCTTCATCCCTCTTTCAGTAAAGAAATTTTTCCTAATATCCAATCTAACCTCCCCGATGCAACTCGAGCCCAGTTCCTCTAACCCTATTGCTGAGATTTTTAAGTAAACAATTTGACTTGTGGAGCCTAATTTCTTCTTGTGCCTTGTCAAGTATCATTGCTTAAGATTTCAATTATTTCAAACCACCTCAGGAGGAAGAAAGAAAACCAAACCCACTAAGAATTTTTGCAGCTAGGAAAGACCTTTCCAGCTCTGGTTTGGACTGGCTACAGGATACAGTTCAACTTCTCTTAACTTTCCAAATTTCAGCAGTTTTGCACAAAGTCCGACTCCTGCGGCATTAAGATGCCATGATACCTTTACCAACACCTGCTTCCTCCATCTTCCTTCACCCTGGACCTCTGCCTTTCCCTTCTGCCGACCTTGAGCCTTGCACCGCATCGATTCCCTCCCAAGGCCCTTATCGAGCCCACATAATCATGCCTGGAACAAGCAAGCCCAGTTTTGCTCTGTTTTGGGTTGGCTTTTTTTTTTGGTCTGGAGATGAAGCAGAAGGCACTACACTGATATCCACCAAGCCTACAGTCAGACTCGATGGATTTTCGAGGGGACACACCACCAGCAGCATTAGTTGGGACCCTAGGGTTGGCCATGGAGCAGAGCTCGGAGTCCGAAGACATACGAGGTGCAGGTTATCGGCTCCCTGTGGTGCAGGTGTTGACGTACAGAGGACCTTAGCCAGGCCAAAGCTTTGCTTTTAGGACAGCGTAGGATGTGCCACTGGCTCATGGCAGCAGAGAAGGAAGGAGATGGTCTATGAAACCCTTCAGCTAGGCGAGAGATCTGGCCTCTGTCACCTTTTCCTTCTCTGTCATGAGGAGACTCGTTACACACGCGCTCTTTTTTTCCCTCCCAAGAAGGACTTCTATCTTTCAGAATAATTGCACAGACAGACCGAGAACCAGGGTCTCCTTAAACCCTCTGCTCACGAGAAATGTGTTTTCTTTCACGTAAATTTCTTTCCCCTTTTCTAATTTAGGATTAAAGCAGGATTTACATACGCACATCTTGACAATAAAGTTCCCTAAAGTCAGTGATATTGTTTTTCAGTCCTCTGTTTTTGTTCAGCTCCTACACTTATCATCATCCAAAAATCTGCCTTTTACTTTTTTGAGAGATGGGAACGGCAGCTGTGACTTCCCCAACAGCTGCTCAAGAGTCGCGGCGGTTCGAGGGGTATGAGGCAGATATCCCATCGGGGCTCGCTTGTTTATACTGAGATCACCACAAAATGCCACCACGCTCAGCTCGCTGCAACACAAAAATGCTTTTATGTCTCAGGGTTTCACGGGGAGGATGTGGTGTCAGACCTCAGCTAATGGCAGTTGCGCTGGAGTCAGAGAAACTCTGCTGCAGAGGAGTGGGTGGCTTGTTTTGAGGGCAAACACATCTCACCTTGAGAGGTTTTCTTTTCTTCTAGCTCTGGCTTACCAACAAACTGAGTCTTTACAGGTATTCATCTTTTTAAATCAAGAATTACTTTGTTGCTGAAGTCAGTGAGAAATTCACTGTTGACTCCAGAGGAGCAGCATCTGTCCCACATTTTAAAGACAGCTTCACTGTACACAGCAGAAATTTGTTACTAAACTAGTTTTTGGTTATTTCCCTTTTCAGGGAAAATTCCAAGGTCTCAAGTGGTGTAAAAGGAACATCTGCAACTGAGAATAGCAGCCCTCCACATCTGGATCCCAGATGACTTGGGGCAGGTAGAAGCACATCTGGATCTTGGAGTACCACGCTGTGCAAAAGCACATCTGGAAACCTATAGCATACAGTATATTTCTTTAAGTTAATCACTTCAGTCACCTACTATTATTGATTTAATTAGTTTGTATCTTTTCTGGAAATACACAAGTCGAAAACAAATAATGGTGGCGGAGTGTTTCGGGCCGGGATGCGAGAGGGCCAGAGCGTGGAAGGTGAAGGAAAATGAGCTAAATTTAATGCCATTTAACTCTGCAGCTGAGTATATTTCTGTGTAACACATACACATTTCTGTATAGTTAGTACGCACGCTTAACAGCAGCTTTCAGCCTGTGAGCTCTTTAGCACAGGAACTGTCATTTGAGGTGGGTTTGGTGCAACAAAGCCCCAACTTGCGATGATGGCAGTGTCAAAACTACTTTTTTGAGATCTAACTCTTGGGCACTTGGTGGCAATGCTCTAACATCTACCTGCAGTTCATCCACTTGCCTGGTCCAACTGCTTACACAGTGCACAACAAAACTGGGATGCAGCATCTCCCTGCATGAGGGAAAAGTCTAAAAAAGGATTTGTATCATGTTTTGTATCATTTGTATCATTTGTATCATGTGTTGGCCCTCATCCTGGCTACAGAGTTAAAAGGGTGGAGAGCCAAACCTTACCCTATAAACTGACGTAACACTTTCTATCCTTAAGTCTCCAAACGCCTCCCCACTGGCATTATCTCCATTTCACAACCGTGACAGGGGTGGCGGAAGTCACCCACCTACAGTCCCCCTTGTGAGTCAGGAGCAAAGCTGGGAAAAGAAGCCACAGCTCCTCGTGCCAAGTCCGAGGCTCCAACAACACGACTACAAAGATGAAACCAAGAGAGCAAGAAAAATCCCAGGGTATGTCTGGAACCAGCTGGCCTTAGTACGAGGCAGCTGCTGCTGTCAGACACAGATTCATTAAATAATATAGAAAGTCTTTCAGCTGAGGCAGACTGCAGTACGAGCCTATTATCTAATGAATCCCCTATTAGCAGGGGACAGTCTCCCTTACCTGCCTAAGCTACAACTCAAGGATCTAACCAGTTTTTGCTATTCCTGAATAGCTGAAACCCACTGGACAAACCACTGCTGTAATCTCAGCAAAGTTTCTGTGCAATAAGAGGTTTTGCAAAGCTGCAAAAGATTCCCCTCACAAGTCCAAGGGGTTTCACCCAGAACTCAAAGGCTTCAATTTTTTGCCCCACATGTGGAAAATGGATGCCAGTAGCATGAGCACTGGGCCAATCCAAGTTGACATCCTCTAGCACAACAGGGTTACTGCTGTAGAAATAATTATTAGCATAAGCTTGTAACTTTTTACACTTACTCAGCACAAACAGCAATGAGTACCCTGTAAATATGAAGGTGGAGAAATATCTAGCAGCAGCTTCTTGTGTGGCTTACCCATCACTAGCTGTGATGAAGGATGGGAAAGTGTTAGCTGTCTGGTATGCAGCTCCCCTAGGATCTCATACTGGCTAAAGTTTGACAGAAAAGAACAGAACGGAGAGGTGAACGGAGGGGGAAATCTCAGAGCAGGACAAATCAAAGAAAAGGAAAAACTGAGAGAAAAGTAGGTGTGGACACACACACTGATCCCTCTGTACTTCGGTTTTAAGAGCAATTCCAGCCTTATTATTTAGCGTAACTGCTCTGCAGCTCAGAAAGAGAAGAAAAACAACCTGCTCAAATCTCTTTGCCTTGCAATACTTTTAGAAATAAAGGAGTGTTGGCTTCATTACGGGAATGCAAGCGAGGTTGCCAGTGTGAAAATCCATAAGCTCTTCCCTCTGCTGGATGGGGGGCTATTCAAGTGTACAGGCACCTTCTTGGAGCAGAGATACAACACAGCATGTGTCAGGAGGGAGAGACCAAGTGAAGGGACTTGCTGAAGGTTTGCATGGACCAATGTCAAGTCCTCACCTTCAGAGAGGATGAGCTTGGGAAAACGGAATAAACCAAAATAGTTCTTTCTCTCCATGGAAAGGAGTGCAGCCAGAGCGCGTGCTCAGGTGTGTGCACAGGATGGCACAGGAAATGTGACAAAAGCCCAGGTTTGTCCTGGCACTCATTCTAGCATGAGGAAACATGTAAATTATCACCCACCAACTCCCTTTCCTGAATACTGCTGGCGATTCAGGCTAGGGTACAATTAGCAAGAGCTGGGCAGAACCCTCCAGAGGGACTTAAAAAGAATAGAAGAGGACTGGATCTTGAGCAAGGGAACAAGGAAAACCCTCTGTAATTATGGACTGGATGTGTCCTCCCTCTCCCCATTCCCTTCACTCCTCTATCTCCCTTCCTCTCCCTCTGCCTTCCTCCTCTCCACCTCCATTCACTGCTTCTGGGCGTCTCTTAGCCCTGGAGTTAAATTAATCAACAGGATTAGGTGGAATTGGCCACAACAAGACCCTCCAGGCTCAGACTGAGCCCTTGATGCTCTACGAGGACCTGCTGCCTTGTCTTGAAGCACCTTGGTGCCGTCTGGAAGGATTGGCAGACAGGACCAGACATGAAAACGCATTCATTAAAGTGGGGATCGGATTTTGTTAGAGGGTAAAGGGAAGCTGCACATTGCCTCCTTCAGTATTTCTCATTTCCTCTCTCTCTTTCTCTCTTACTTCCAGCTGCACCATCCTAAAAATTAAACGTGTGGGAGAAAGGGA